CCGTGACGGAGCCTGGCTGCTCTGGCTTCCTCCTCTGCAAATGGGGTAAATAATGGCCCCTCGCTCATAGGACGCCGTAAAAATCCAATGTGCTAATACATCTAAAACTCCTAGAACAACGCCTAGCACACAGAAAAAAATCAATACGTGTTAGCCATTATTATTATTACAAAGAATATTTCTTCTTTAGCCTGGCTTTTAGAGTCACATAAAAAGATTTACACTTTTAAAATCTGAGGAGAGGCCAATGTATCTCAAAGGTGCTTCTTACCTATTGATTTCCTGGGAATTCTTTAATACCGGAGCCATGAATTCAGTGGTCTTGCAAGGATGAAGTACAAAAAAGGGTTGTCCCAGTATTGGATGTTCCTGTAAGAATCAGAGTCGGTCGAGGATTGTCCTTGTAATTTTGAAAAAATTAAATGATCTGCTTAATCCATTAAAATAAGAATTTGTCCAAAATTTCAAGTTACTGAATTAACATAGCAGTGGATTTCCTATTTTGAAACATAACTGGAATACGAGTCACTTCCCTCATCACTGACTTCAAAATACCTGACACTCGCCGCTCAGGTGGAGAGGGTGCTTCTGGAGGTTCAGCCACAATCTCTGGCTCCAAGGCAGGGCTGCCTGGCAGAAGGCAGGGCAGAGGAGAGCGGACAGGAAGTAGCGAGTCAAGGGAAGAGGCGGGGAGGGAGATGGGCCCTTCCGGGTCACTCCCACAGTGACCAGACCCCACCTCATTTCTGGGGTGCTCCCCACCCAGGCACAGCCTTCAGTGGAAGGGGGAGGCCTCGTGGGTTCGGGATATTTGACTCTAAGCTCGGTCTGATCACTGGTGAACCTGAAAGCTGTAGGCAGAGCTGGGCAACCGAAGGAAGTCAAGCGACGAATGAGAAATAAGAATTAAAAACAAATAACAGACGAATTCTGCAGATAAGGCCTAGGAAGTCTACCAAAACAAAACAACAGCAATAATAATAAGGAGGCAACCCCGAATTACAAGAAATCCAGAATTTTTGTAACACATTATCCAAACTCATTTTCAAAGAAATTTATGAGACAACAAAGAAACAAAAAGTGCAATGCATACTAAGTGGGGGACAATGTCAGTAATGAAAACTGACACTGACAGGGCCCAGATGTTGGATTTACAGAGAATTCAAAGCAAATATAAACACACTCGGAGGATTAAAACTATGGTTACAGAATTAAAAGGGAAAACTTGTGACAGCAACTCTGCAATAGCATCCCAGTAAAAGGATACAAAGACTGGAAAGAAGCCAATGGAAATTCTGAAATTGATGTGTGCAATACCAGAAATAAAAAAGGTCATTAGCTGGGCTCCACAGCAGACAGGAGGAGACAGCAGTACAGAGAATGGGTGGATCTGAAGACGTACAACAGAAAGTGTCCAGTCCGAAGAAGAAAGAGGAAAAAGGGGGCCTCAGGCCTGCAGAACCAAGTCCACCGCACCAGCACACGGGTAACAGGGCTCCGAGGAGGAAAGCGGGGAGGAAGTAGCAGGTGTGACAGCCAAGGACATCTGGGCTGAAAGCTTCCATACTTGGATAGAAAGCGTTAATCTCCAGATCCGAGAAGCTCAGCAAACCCTAAGGCAGAGAGATCCACACTGAGGCAAATGGCCGACACCTAAAAGCAAGGAGGAAAATCGTAGGAGAAGCAACATATGAAGGGCTCCTCACACAAACAGGAGACAACCCAGACGGGAGCAGAGAAACGCAGTCAAAGTGCTGGGGGAGACGCTCGAAGATTCCGTCCTCAGCAAAACCATCCCTCAGCAATGAAGGTGATATAAATACATTCTGAGGGAAACAGAAGGAGAGAATTGCTTGCTAGGGAATCTGCCTAATAAGGTAAGCATAGGAAGTTCGTCAGGAAATAATATCAAAAGATAACTCAACCCCCCAACATGCACAATGAACACTTCCATGCATGGTAAATATAAAGACTGCTTAAAAATCTTTAAATTTTTAGTTTTACTAGTCCATGTTTGCAGTATGTAAGGATGACACTCACAGTGGGGAGTTGGTGCATGGATACAACACTTTTTTTTTTTTTTTTCTTCCTGGCACTGGGGATCAAACTGAGAAACTCACATCTGCAAGGCAGGTGCAGCGCCACTGAGCTAAATGTCCGGCCCCAACAATACATCTTGATTCTTTTTACAACCCCTTCCCTTCCCCTCCCTGCACCTCCCTCCATCTCTTGGTCCTCTTCCCATTTGCAAAAGACTTGCTTCTTTTAACAGGATTATATAAGCAAAAACTGTAGTCCTGCAGTGTTGGGTTTATAGCTTTTATGGGTGTAAAATGCGTAGCAGTCACAGCCCGGAGGAGGAAGAGCTGGAAGCTAGGGGAAGCAAGGTACCCGAAGCCAGCAGAACCGAGTCAGCAGTGAGCAGGGCTCTCTGTCAGAAAGTAGGAGGGGTGTTGGTGTTGACAGCATTTGGAACCCAGAGTTCATGCTTATGAAATAAATCCTTTAAGTACATTGTTAACCATGCCATGCCTCCTAGCCATGTGTCAAAGTCTCCATAGTTAATTACAAGATTAAATTGTACATGGTTCAATATCCAGTGCTTTCTCAAATGTACTAGTTTCTCTTAGTTGTGGCAAATTAACCAAGTCATTCATTACTTTTCAAATACAGATGGAGAATTAATTTTTAAAATATACAAAATAGATCTCTGTTTCTAAATACAGGCTGAATTCCTCTTATCCAAAAATGCATGGGACCAGAAAGTGTTTCAGATTTGGATCTGGGGATACTGTCATAGACTTGAGCAGTTAGCATCCCTCAGCTGAAAATATGAAATCCAAAATGCTCCAAAATCCAGAACTTTGGGTGCTCAGAAGTTTTGGAGTTGGAGGCACTTCGGGTTTCAGAATTAGGCATGCTCGAGCTGTATGCAGTGTTACTGAATGCACAACCTGAGCTACAGTGACTGGAATAATTCTCATACTATATAGGAAAATATCCAATGTCCTCAACTAGATGTATACTCTTTCATTCAGTCAGCAAACATTACAGTCATTTATTTTATTTTATGTTAATTAATTAATTAATTTTGGTACTGGGGAATGAACTAAGGCCCTTGTGCTTGCGAGGCAGGCAGTGGAACCACTGAGCCAATGCCCAGCCCTCATTACGGTCATTTTAAATTGGTTGAGCCCTAATTCAAAACGGGGTCTGTAACTCAAAATGTAGTCAGTCCCATGGGGCACATCACACTACAGAAACCACAGAATTCAGAGTTACTGTCATGCCCTGCACCAATAATATTTAAAAAATTCTATTTATTTGTTTTTAATCGGTTTATGTTTATAGCACACGTTTATATTCCTTGTGGGAAGCTGGTGTATGTACACAACATATCTTCACTGATCACCTTTATTATCTTCTTTCTTTTTATTGTTTTTGGTACTGGGGATCGAACTCGGGACCTTGCACTTGCAAGGCAGGCAGTGGAACCACTGAGTTAAATCCCCGGCCCAATCTATCTTTCATTTTGCTCTTTATTTATGTTTTGAGTTTCTCATATAAGAGAAGCCATGTGCTATTTAAGCTTGTGTGTCTGAATCACTTCACTTAGCATTATGGTCTCAAAGTGCATCCATCTTCCTACAAATAACTCAACTTTTTATTTGTTTATAGCAGAGTAGCGCTCCATGGTGTATAAATACCCTGTTTTCTTTATTCATTCCTCTGTTGATGGGCCTACAGGCTGCTTCCAAGGGTCAGCCATTGCGAGTGTGCTGCTATAAACATGGTGTGTGTAGGTCACTGTAATATGACATCTTTAACTCTTTTTGGAATTCAGTAATGCTAGCAGGATACAAAAATCAACAGAAAAAAAGCAACAGTGTACACTAATAAGGAAACTGCTGAGAAAAATTTAGGAAAAAATACCATTAACAACAGCACAATGGAAAATTAAATATTTAGGAATTAACCTAATTATGGGAGGGAAACAGCTGTACAATAAAAAGTGTGGCACTCTGAAAAAGAAAATGGAAGACATCAGAAAATAGAAAGACATCCCCTGTTCCTGGATAGGCAGAACCAATACTGTCTAAGCGGCTACACTTCTGAAATTGATGTACAGATTTAACTCAATCCCAACCAAAATGTCAGTACTATTTTTTTCAGTCACATTCAATCAGCTGATCCTACAAGTCCAGCAACTTGTATTTAGACCAAGTAAAGAACTTACAAATAATCTGAGGCTTGAGATCAATGTAGGCAATCTGGATATTATTTTCTAAAAGCCATTTTTCTTCATTGTAGTTTTTTAAGATTTATAGTATCAGGAAAAATGATCAGTATTTTCAGATAGCCAGAATTAGAGATGAAAGGAGTCTGTAGTTGGCTTAGGTCTTAAGTTTGGAGTTAAAGAAAAATCTAAACTCCTATACTGATTTGTTTAACATACCTTTTTTCAGAAAGGGAAGAACATCACAACTGTCAGGACCCTTTTAGTGACATTTCTTAGATCAATTCAGGAGGTAAATTCAGCAAAAGTGCTACCATCTGCTGTCAGTACTAATGAACTGAGCAAATCCACACTGAGAAGAATGCCAGTGTGGAAAGAGACAGTCAGTGAACTGTGTGCGGCTTACAACTCCACACACACTTCCGCTGGAACAAAGTTCGCCGAAATGGTTTTCTGCAAAAATAGACGTGATGGGTCAGATTTCTATCTCTGTAACTCCAGAGGAGCTATACAGGCACATTCCCTTATGAAATTTAATTCAGCAATGGCTAAATGTCTCATAAAATAAGTCTGACATGAATGCTGTGAATTGCTTTTAGAACTATTAGATATGACGATCAGACGGAACTGGTAATACTGCACCTCATCTCGCATGTAATAAATATGATGAGTTACTTGGTTCATTTCTTAATTTTCTTTGCTCTCTGGGAGGGCACAACTATCATTTCGCATACTCAGCTTCCCACCAGTTTCATTCCAAACTGATCGAATTTGCCTCCCACTCTGGGCATATCCCTTGGATATGGGGAGATCTTCCTCATCCTACCCTCTCAAGGGGCCATTACAGGAAGAGACAATCCTACCACAGTGACTCTGAGGAAAGCTTTATTTTTGCCACTGTGAAGATCAGCGTTAAGGCCATGCCTGTGGTGGGGACAAAGCCCCTCACACCTCCAGAGTCAGCCAGCTTCCTCCGCACGCCCTCCTGCCTCTGGCCAGCACTGCTGAGTAGTAAAGTCCCTGGATCACATCCTGCCGAGGGTGGATGTCGGCTTGACTGGCTTTGCCATCTGCTCCAGGGCTCGGAGGAGTACACATCTGGGAGTGTCTGGGTGGCACCCAGAGGCGTGGCCTCGGCACTATCCATGGCCCCTGGACAGTTTCCTGGCTGGCACTGTCCCCTGATGTGCTTCCTGGCCACCTGCACTGAGCAGCTTTGCTCTACAGTGAACTTGCACTATGATGTTCCTGCCTTGGAGTCAGCCAGCCATGGACCAGGCCCTCTGAAACCACGAGCCAAACTAACCTTCTCTTCCTTTAAATCATGGTGTTGGGTATTGTGTCCAGCAACAGGAAAGTCTACTTTCCAAAAATCTACTCCACACTACTAGAATAGTCTAGTCTTCTCTTCAAAAACCTATTTATTTACATTGAAATAATGTGTTTTCATAAAATTTTAAGAGCAACATAGAGAGTTCAGAAATTACAGAGAAGAGCAAGAGTAAAAGCAGGACAACTGAAAACTGACCAAATCAGGTTTAATTACTGGTGAGTTTCCTTTCATACACACGTTTATAGTCTCTATTGCAGTTTATACACTGGACAGACATTTACTAAGTGCCCGCATGCCAGAGGTACCTTTGGTGGATCTTGTTTTTTTCTTTTTTTTAATCTTTATTAAATGTATTGGTACATATTAGGTATACAACACAGTTACATTCATCATTGGGATCTGGTACCTATAAGTGATTATCAGGTTCTTATTTTTCCCCATTCCCCAGCCCTCCCCTCAATCCAACAATACGCTGTATACGAGAAACACACCTACTTCTCTTGTTTTTGTTTTGTTTTGTTTTGGTACCAGGGATTGAACTCGGGACCTTGTGCTTGTGAGGCAGGTGGTGGAATCTCTGAGCTACACCCCAGGTCCCTGGTGGATCTTTTCTGCTTTATTAATTCTGAACTTTCCTGCCTCCAAATACTTTGTTAAAGTTTTTAATATTCCAGCAGGCACTTTAGAGACTATGTGTAGAGGCTATGTAAGCTTCAGCTGTTGGCTACAGGGTCCTAAATGTTTCGTTACATCAAGATAGTTGTGTTGGGTGTATCTTCACTTTCCTGTGTGTCCTTGTCTGCTTGATTTATGAGTTTCTGAGAGAAGTTCCGATCTCTCCTATACCTTTGTCTATGTCTGTTTAGTCTGTCAATTTTTTGCTTCCTACACTCAGAGGCTGTGTTATTTAAATGCACAGAGGCGTATCTTCCTAGAGGACTGGACTTCAATATGGAGCAATCCTGTAACTGATTGTGCTGTTTGTTGGTGATGTAGCCATACCAGCTTTCTAGTTACACCGTGTGATTAAAAACTGTTTGGATTTCAATCTTTCTGGGCCTTTATATTTAATGGAAAAAGAATATAGATGGATTTTTAAAAATTCACCATCTAGGGCTGGGGATTTAACTCAGTGGTGCTGCCACCTGCCTTGGAAGCACAAGGTTCCAAGTTTGATCCTGGTATGGAAAAAAAAAAAAAAAATCACCATCACAATCTGTCTTGAATGGAGGATTTTAGTTCATGTATAGGCCTTCTGATTACTCGTGTAATTTTAGTGCTTCCATTTTATTGTGAACATTTTACTCCTTATATTTTTAACATTTCCCTCCCCTGATGCTTTCTTTTGATTCCATTGTAAGAATAAACATTTTTTCTCATTGCCTTT